AGATGTATGTGAGCTCCAGAGTGTGAAATTGAAAAATAAAACAAGCTTCATTGCTTGATGAAAACTCCTAATATACAGATCACTTTGGGGGTTTGTTTGATTTCATGATATCCATTTAAATAATGATTTCACCTTCCTAAGTGAGGCTTTGCATAATGTACAGTATATGGGAGATAGTTCCATAGACTTGTAAAATGAGTCTTGTATAAACATTATATTGTGAAAATGGGTTTAAAAAAAGATACTTAGTATAGAGAAACCATGAGCTTATACAAGCCAGAGAAAAAGGTGTTAAATATTGTTTATACTGACAGTAATCTGTTCTTTACAATGGTAGAGCCATGAAAATCTTTAATTAGTTCTCTGTGGGACTGACCTTTCAGGTGTGTGTGTTTAGTCCTTTAACTTTGAAAGTCAGATTTTATATTTTTCAGGGCTGTCTTTCTTTTGTTTTAAGTTCTAAAATGTACATGTTACACTGCTGAGCAGACAGATGCAGGTCGCACTTCGATAACCTTCCATGTTATGTCAGTGTTGCTGCACCATTTTGCTTGCATGTCATGATAAAAAGGAAAAGTCTCTGAAATGGAGGGCAGGCTCTTGTATAACTATCTGTGGTATGATTCCATATTGAAAAGCAAATATATTATGTGTAATTGATAATTAAGTTGGTGCTGTTGAGCAACAGGTCCTGCTGGCAGCGACTTCATCTGTAACAAATATTAATGCTCTTGAGGTTTGTGTTAATAAGTGTATGAAAGATAGGAGGCAGAAAACAGCCATGTTGTGGTCAGCTCAAAGTAGAATTTGGTGAAATGGTAAGAACACTGACTGCTGTCTTGCTTAAAGATCTTATTTCTATTATGCCTACTGTAAAGGGGTGGGGAATTTGGTCATAACTAGTTAATTAAAATTGCATGCTTAACTAAGGTACAGTTCCTTTGTGTTTAACCTAGGGTAGTGGCTTTTTCCTGGCTCAGAATACAGCAGTGCAAGAACAGTATTCATCCATCTTGGTTAGTACAGTGTTCTGTCTTGATGAGCAGTTCATTAACTTCCGGGACCAGATTCCGGCTTTGGCGCATTGGTTGCAGTAGCTGGGCCCTGTTGGAGGGTTAAGTAAATTCAGGAGGAGAGCTTGATGTTGAAATATTGCAGTTGATCTGAAATGGCAACTTTGTTCAGAGAGCCTTAAAAATGAGCATTTTGTTTTAAAACTAGTGGTTTTACAGACTAATGGAAGAGAGATGTGGTGTTAAGTGACTCTTTTAAACAAAAAATCATATTCTTCATAAATACATACAGGAAATATTTTTTTTGAAAAATCATCATAAAATGAAATCTATTCAAAATCATTTGTCCTTTATCACTTCCTGGGATCCATTGCGCTATTCACTGTTTCATTATAAAAATATCTAAGATCAGGATAATGAGTTAAAATAGCCTGAAGTGTGTCTGGCAAAATGTGTATTTCTGAGTTGGCACACTAAACAGACCTTAAAATGCTTTTTGCCCTCTTGCAGTTTTGGAACTGCTAATTTATTTAGTTTTGTTCTTTCGGGATGGGGGCAGTGAATCAGCAAGATGCCCCAAGATAGTTCAGTGACTTCTAGCTACGTTTTTTAAAGAACTCTTACTCCAGTAGGAGTCAAGGATCTGAAGCTATTGCTGGGGTCACCTCAGGACTTGCAATTAATCCAAATGTTAAGAAGCACATTTGAGATCGCTGTTACTAAGGCTTCTGATAACAAAAGGTTTGTTTATTTAAAAACAAAAAACATAATTTCAGCCGCACATCTGACTCTCTGTCACGTTATCTGTGGTTGAAAGAGAGGTTTTGGTGCTTTGTGCCTTCTAAGGAGCTTGATCATCTGTTCACCTGAGACCTCCAGGAAATGGAAAAACAAGCTGCAGGTGTGTTTCACTGTGCATTCTAGAAATATAGTACTCTAGATTCCTGAAGCATAGGCTGCTTGAAATGCTCAACTTTTGTTTCTCAAAATTGCTGCCAGATGTGTCACCTCTACTGAATCCCCCTGTGTTTTTGAGACCAGAAATGGCGGTTACCACCACTTTGGAAGACTGAAGGAAAAAGGCAGTAAAAACCATTCTTAGAACCTGTGCAACTGAACATACAGAATGTGAACCTGACAGCTTCAATGCCTGTGGAAGGCTGTGTGTCAGGATGTTTGAGAGCCTTACCCAATGTATGCTACGACGTTGTTTGAAAAGAGGAAGTCTGTTTTATAGGTTAAACTTAAAAGCTGAGGCCAGACCCAGTGCCTGGGACCTGCTGCTAGCATTAGGGTTCTCTATGGAGCAAATACCTACAGCTTCAGAACGGATGGTGGCAGACTCACTGAAGAAGCTGATATCTGGGACGTATTTAGAAGTATTTGTTTGCAAAGACTAACTTACAGTAGAACATATGTGACTTTTGCTAGCTTTATATTGGCTTGTCTAAGTGATGTGTCACTGTGCCTTGTAGTAAAAAGGACTCTTTCATGAATTATAGAAGAACACTTGACTAGCAGTCACTTATTTCAGGACTCTGCTATTTAGTGATTGGTATTTAAAGGCTAGTTAATAGTAATGTAGTAATTGGCTCTTCTGTAGTGCCTTGTATCAAAAGCTCTCAAAGCACTTGACAAAATAAGGCCTCAGTCCCTTAAGTTCAGGTACTTACATGGTCCCCATTACTGCAGTAGCTGAGCTCTCACACTCTCTTTCAATGTGTTTATCCTCACCAGACCCTGTAAGGCAGGAATGTGCTATTCTCCACATGGTACAGATGCAGAACAGACACCAAGGTTAAGAGACTTGCCCATGGTCACACACGGTGTCTGGCTGAACAAGGGTATTGAACTCAATCTCCCACTTCCTATGCTAGTGCCTAACCAGTGGATTTACACACTGCAGGGAAGCGGGCTCCTTGGGCTGAAGTACGTATTGCATCATTGAAGTTTGGCTAACAACTGCAGTAAACTTCTACAGAGTTAAACTACAAATAAACTCACTTTGAAAACAAACTACATGGAAACGGGGTCCTCTGTTTATCTGACAGAAGTTGTTTCCTCTGCAACAGTTAGTGATCTGATTAAACCATAACTTGTGCAGGAAAAAAAGATCTTAGTTGAAAATTACTGTTTTAAAAACACTAACAAGATAAATGTCTTGGGAAAAGAGTTAAAAAATAAACAAACAAACAAAACCCCTCAAACATCTCTTCTGCTGTTGTAACACTGAGAGAAGGCTAGAGAATGGCCAGATTTCAAAATCCCACTGTCCTGGGGGTGGTGGTGAGCTTTGTCCCCATCACCCCTTGAACTGATTTGGTTTAACTTGAGTTTCTCATTTAGATGTTTTTTTCTTTCTGTGTCTGCTTATGCTGATTTTTGTCATCAAATCTTGCAAGGGAAACTTTTAATTCAGTTCAGTTTTGATAGTGAAGGAGAAAATGGTATTGATATGTATTTGTAAGTTTGTTCACATTTGTTACTGATGTGAGATTAACTTCCACGCCCCTAAAATCTTTGCAGTTTTCCAAATTCTCTGCCACGTTTCCTGCTTCAGCCAGCCAGTCTGCTGGTTCTTCTGTATGCTTTCTACTGGAGCTGCTCATGGCCACAGTCCAGGATCCTAGCAAATACTTTTATACAATTCTGTTGCTTCCAGAAAACTGAAAGAATTGTAGTTAAGCCGTATCAAAAGGGTTTCCACCCTTCCCAATCTGTGATCAAGCAGTAACTTTGTAATTCTTTCACCAATGGCCTTATCACATAGACAGGAAGGAGGATTGGACAAAGGAGATTAAAATATAGTGGGAAGGGAGGCTCAGAAAATGCTATTCCAAGGAATATGGACTTTGACTCATGTATGCAGTATCTCAGTTTTGGAGATACTCTTGTTGACATGGTGCAGTATCTGTTCATTAATGGCTATGGGCTGGTTCTTTGAGTCAGACAAATCTTACCCTCATATATTCAAGTCAAACTGCATATATCGTGTGTTGGTGGACTACCAGGGCCTTCTTACGATTGATAGTCACTGATGCAGAGAATGAATGTGTTTTGCTGCCAGTTAGCTGATTCTAATGCACGGGTAGGTATAATGCATTGCCTCTTCTCTTCCTGGGCAAGTGAGTTTCATGGCAACAACTCACTTACAGTATGTCTACACTGGAGCTGGAGAAATGTACACACACTAGTTCTTATTGAGTTTGTGCACTAAAAATAGAAGTGGATCCCAGAGGCAGGGTGGATTAGCAACTCCAAGCCCAATCCCGTCAAGGACCCTAGGCATGTACGGTAGTTGGGACAGGGAATCCGTCCCACCCCTCACACACTACCTTTATTTTATTTTTAGCGTGTTACCCACACTAGCTTTTATTGAGATGTCTCCTCAAGCTGGAAATTACACCTCCAGCTCCAGTGTAGAGACACCCTCAGTTGAAGAGGGGTCCTGGCAGTAAACTAGAAGACAAATTCTGTCACTCGTTTTGGGGAAATTTTATGCTACGTTTCTTGGACAAGAATCTGACCCAGTCTTATGGTAGGCTCTAAATGAACTTTAAGACCACACTGTTAGAATTATAAAGGTGCATAGGTGTATATATTTAAGGGCAGTGAAACTTGCATCTATTAATGCCATGATTTATATGGCGCCAAAAGGGTAGTCTAGTTTTCTTGATGCAAAGGACAGGGCAAGCACCACAGTAGTGGAAAATAAGTGCTTAATATGGAGGACTGATTTTTAAGAGCAGAATATTTTAAGGTGGAAGTGAATGTTTTAGAAGACTATAAGATTTTATAATTTGCTTAATTGGTGATAAAAGGTTTATTACAAAGAACCCTCTACAGAGGGAGCACAGTCAACGAACCTGAATAAAATGCAGAAGATTCCTGGCAATGGAAGCTCGCAGAATTATTCTGGGCCAGCTTGAAATGCTCTGAGTTGCAAGCTGAATCTGAAAGTAAATTGTCTTTGTATTCCTCTTGTAGTAACCCTCCATTGAGCGAGGAAATGTTGCCTCCAGGGGAGTGGATGTGTCATCGCTGCACTGTACGCCGAAAGGTAAAACCTCTTATCCAAACAAACTCAGTTCTCTTTGGGTCACTCTTCTAAAATGTTAACTCTTTAGTATTTTCCAAATATTTGTCACTCGTATTTGAGTCTTACTGCCCTTTTTTCCTCCTACCAACCTTTCTTTTCCCACCCCCACAGACACAGATACAAAACCTTAGAGTTCTGCTCCAGTGTGTGTGAGATCATGGAATCGCAGGAAGTAAAGTGAAGGTTAGAGAGCTTGGCAGAGCAGAGAGGTTTTGATTAGGAGTAGGTGGATAGAAAACTCTAAGCCAGTCCCAAATTCCTGTACTGATTTTTACTATTAGAAATCACAAAACTGAACTTTAAATCCAGACTTACAAACATTTAATTTAGTAACGTACCCTCAGCAAACAGCAATTTTCCACATTTAATCTTGAACAGGAAAAAACAAACTGCACTAAAAATATCCCAGAGGGAATAATTCTGCACGGGCAAAGGAGATGGACTAGTTGTGACTTAATATGGCTTCCCATCTTTAGTGTCTGATGCTTTTATTGCAGTGCCTCATGATTCTGGCTAGCAAAAACAAAACAAAACTGTGACCCCACAACAATTTCCATAGCAACAGACTGAATTGCTGTGAATTATGACTTCCTTATTTGCAAGAACAGGATGGAGAGATGATTCGGCAAGATTGTGGCTTGGTTTTTTGACATGCTATTTCCCAGGAAGCTCTCCTTGCTAAATGTAAACATGATTTTGCAGCAATGACGTCTTCAGACTGTGTACCCAAGTGTTTAAAGAGATTCTGCACCAAATTATCCAGGAAGCCATTCATATGAAGTGCCACACAAATTCACCTCCAACATATTCTTTTTTCCAACTTGCCACCTTTTATCATGGTCTCTTGCTCCTGGCAAATCACTTGTGATGCTGTTATATCCTGAAGACAGTAACGCTTCAGAAACTTGTCTCAACAATAAAAAGGTCATCTTAAAAAGAGCAATGGCTTTTGCTTTTTCTAACTCTTTTCCTTATCTTGAATGGCTTAGCCCTTAATTTTCGCTCATTCCAGCACCTCACACAAACAAGAAATGCTGCTTCCGGAAAAACTGTATCCGACAAAAGGCTGAGTTTCTGGTGGCTCAAATTTGTTGTTTTTTCCCCCCCCCTCTGCTCCTGATTTCTTTCCTGTTTTGTTTGGTTGGTTGGTTTTTTTGGGGAGGCGGGGGGTGTTCCCCTCCTCCTTTCCCATGTGCAACTAGCTTTGCACATTTTCTCCCTTGGAGGTTCATATGCTGCACATCTCACAGCTTTCATGGAGATTGATGTGAATGCTAAGTCCTTAAACTGTGCTGATGCTGCCCCTTGTGACTCATAATAAATTATGCCCATTGCACCTTCCAGACTAGGACCACCAAGAACTAATGCTGGCTGGCTAGAGACCTCAAAATTAGGGCTGTCAAGCAATTTTAAAAAAGGAATCGCGATTAAAAAAATAGAATACCATTTACATATTTTTTGGATGTTTTCTACATTTTCAAATGTATTGCTTTCAATTACAACACAGAATATAAAGTGTACAGTGCTCACTTTATATTTTTGATTACAAATATTTGTGCTGTAAAAAACAAAAGAAATTGTATTTTTCAATTCACCTCATACAAGTACTGTACTGCAGTCTCTTTATAATGGAAGTTGAACTTACAAATGTTGACTTATGTACAAAAAAACCTGCATTAAAAACAAAATAATGTAAAACTTTAGAGCCTACAAGTCCACTCAGGCCTACTTCTTGTTCAACCAATTGCTCAGACAAACAAGTTTGTTTACATTTGCAGGAGATGATAGTGCTGCCTGCTTCTTGTTTACAATGTCACCTGAAGATGAGAACAGATGTTCGCATGACACTGTTGTAGCCAGTGTTGCACAATATTTACATGCCAGATGCGCTACAGATTCATATGTCCCTTCATGCTTCAACCACCACTGCAGAGTACGTGCGTCCAAGCATTTGTCTTAACGATTTGTTGACTAAGAAATAGGACTGAGTGGACTTGTAGGCTCTAAAATTTTACATTGTTTTGTTTTGGAGTGCTGTTATATAACAAAAAAAATCTACATTTGTAAGTTGCACTTTCACAATAAAGAGATTGTATTATGGTACTTGTATGAGGTGAATTCAAAAATACTATTTCTTTTGTTTATCATTTTTACAGAGCAAATATTTGTAATAAAAATAATATAAAATGAGCACTGTACACTTTGTATTCTCTGTTGTAATTGAAATCAGTACATTTGAAAATGTAGAAAAGACCACCTTGGCTTAACCACGAGATCTTGCATGATCTAAAAAATAAGAGTCATAAAAAAAATGGAAACTAGGACAGATTACAAAGGATGAATATAGGCAAATAATACAGGAATGCAGGGGCAA